TATGTGTCAATCACTTGATTTTGATAAGTGTAACCCCCTTAATGAATATTCATGAATATGATGATTGTGATCACTATTCTAGTTATTATAAAAAACTGGCTAATTTCTAATTAAATAAGTGGTTTTTATCCATTCATCCATTTTTTTGTTCTGAATTAATTACTTTATTCTTTATTTTCTTTTTATCTTATATTTATAATCAGGTAAGAATTATTTTTATGACAAATATTTAAGATATATTTTTTGAGGAGTTGACAAACTCATGTTTTCACATTCTTTTAACCTATTGGGTCTATTTCCTGTTTTAGATTTGTACCAACCAGAGAAAATGATCACAACATCAAGCTTGAAAGCATTGCACAGGCTTTTGAAAGACCATATCTGCACACTATGCTGGAATTGACAACACACCAATGAATCCATACATACCCTTGTTTATGCAATTAGGAGTGAAGAATAATCATTTGCAGTTGGCCCAGAATCCCATAATATTTACTAGAAATCAAAAGCATTACAAACAAATATTTTTCATAGGCTAACTGCTAGGGTTTTCTATTTGAATAAAAAAATTAATTTGAATAAGAAAATTAATTCAAATAAAAAAATTGATTCAAATAAGGATATTAATTTGAATAAGGATATTAATTTGAATAAAAAAATTAATTTGAATAAGGAAATTAATATTAATATTAATATTAATTTGAATAAAGCAAATAATTTGAAAAAATTAATTCAGATAAAACAAATAATTAAGGTCCAGTTTAAATTCAAGCTCACTGGAAAGATTGATATTTATTAAAAGAAACATGAATCTTGTTTCAGTCTTTCCTTATTAATTTCATTTTTAATTTCAATTTTTATAATAATAAAATCAATATTAAACCTTGCTGCATATTGTTTGAATATTTAAGTAATTGAACAACCCATGATTCCAAATAATGAATGAACAAGCCCAAGATTCCGATAATGAATAAAACAAATAAAACAAATAATTTGGATAAAGCGAATTAAATTTTTAATTCGAATAAACTTTTAAATTCGAATAAATTTTTTAATTCGAATGAATTTTTTTAATTCGAATAAATTTTTTAATTCGAATAAATTTTATTAAAGGTCAACTATATTACGAATAATTCGAATAAGAAATTGTATTACGAATAGAAGCCTTAATACTACAATTTTGAGAAAAATCAAAAAATGTTACGTGATTTAAAGATCATCAAGTCAAATTTTATCTAAAGATATTAGTATTAGTATATATATGACACCAAAGAATATCCAGAATGGTCCAAGAGAATGTCTTTACGAAAAAATGTGGAATGATCATCTATTTATTTAATAATAACTATAGTCTTGACCAAAGTGATGTGATTTTTTGCTCTTTGCGACGAAGACACAATCCAAACCAATTTAACTTTAATGTCAACGTGATTCTAAAATAAATAAATTTTTTATATTGCGTAGCATGGTGTGCATGATTGTGTAATACGTAAAAAAGCCATGCGTTCTCAGTTGTCATTATTATTATCACGTGATAAAATATTGGGCCATAAAATTTTCGATCCTTCCCAATTCGTTCATTTTTAATATAAAAAAATATGTGTACCACGCTATTTTGGGAATTTTTATGCATCATTCCTCTATGGTAACGTGGCATAACAATGAAGTGAAATCATTAGATTCCAGGGAAAGGTCCTAGCTTTAATTCTATGGTTTTGGTTTTTTTTTTGGCCATACAATTCCATTTTTGGAGGAGTAAAAGGATCTACACAACCAATAAAAGTTCAGCGACTAAATGACTCACACCATATTTGCAATAAATGGAAAGGGAAATTTAGCCAATGAAATCAAATGTCCACTATGCTTACAATTCGTATATAATAATAAAGAATTTCGTACACATATATAAAAGCGGTACCATGTTACTACATTCTGAATCGATGACCTTTTAATATTACGTACGTTTTGTTAAAATTGTTTTGTTCATTGATTGGTCAGATCAATAATCATGTTGAATTTCGTACAACTATAAATCACCAAAATTGGGGAATCTTTAATATGTTGTACCAATTGTAACTCGGTAACATAATGTCATTTACTATATGTATCAAATATTTCTAAAAATATTATTTTGAGATGAGAAAATAATCATCACTTAGAAGACTGAGATTTTCTTCTTGCTAAATCCCAAATGCCAACAATCATCATTCATGTTAGATTATGTACGGCGGTGATCAACCAATTAATATTTTATTTCTTTGTTATTATTAAAAACCTATTCAATGAAAAAATTTATTGGATAAAGTAAAATTCGTTGTGGATGGCATTATGAGCACCCACAATGTTCATTTGAAACAATCAAATCACAACAAAACCTTACAAAATTCACCAAATCTATATACAACTTTTATTGGTGAAGATTAAAAATTTTGGTATTAAGTGTCTATTTGAAATTATTGATGCAATTTATGTTGAAGTAAAAGAGCCAAATGTTTTTTTCATTTTTATGGGAAGGTTTATTTCAAAAGACTCAATTGCTTAATGGTAATAATATAATGCGATTCAATCTATTGATAAAATTTCCACTCGATAAATTTTTCTTTTGAAAGTAGTAATAGTCATTATAATTGTTATATACTGTGAATATCCAAGGCAATTCAAATCGCAAGAAATTTCATAATTAATAAATAATTAATTAAAATTAGTTATAATGACAACATGTCAACAAAACTTTCAAAATTAGTTCCTTCCTCTTCCTCTTCCTCTAACAACAAAAACAATTACAACAACCGCGCGTCGTCAACAAGACAACAATTAAAACTTGTTGACGGCGCCTTCCATCTTTAATTGTATTGATCTTTGTTGTTATAATCATCTGAAATTATTATTTTATGGCTTTTTTATATTTCGTTATTTAAATGAATTAAATGATAAATTAATTAAAGGCATGTATGTATTATTAGCACTACTAGAGTGATGCGCAATATTCGGTCTATTAGATCATTAGTGTGACATTTTGACTATATTTAGTATTTTATTAATAGTAATGGACTAGACTAAATTTGTCATAACAATAACAAAGTTCGCTTAAAAGGAAATGATTGATCTTTAAAAACGGAAATTTTAATAATAATAATAATAATAATAAAAGCCTTCTATATTAATATAAAAATTTTTGTTCTATATAGCATGTTTGGTTACAGAGTCTGTCTATACATTCCAAAGCTCGACTTTATTTAGGGCTTTTTTTTTCTATAAACTAAAAAAAGCATTCTATTCCCTAAGGGCCTTGCCTATTTATCTTAAATTTCATACTTGTATCGCTTTAGTTGAAGGAGAAGATCCAATGTTGATTTTTATATTTGTTAAAAAAAGTTAATCAATGAATTTTACTAATGTTAATATAGATGATGATGTTACACCCCCACCGGAAATTCCTTTGAATTTACGAAGAGTGATATATCATTGAGCATTCATTCATTTTATATTCATTTGGTAAACAATTGATTATTTAAAGAATGCGACTACAATGACCGGTGCAGTTTAAGATTCTGTGTTTTTTAACACAATTAGTCTCAATGGACAATGATCGGCGGTGGATTTTATTTAAATAGGAGTGTTGCGCCACTGCTGAATTTTTCTCACCCTTTTTTAAAATTTTGTTTTTTCTGATTTTGTCACGAGAAAGTTCGGTAAATCGTGAAATATTCTGTAAATCGCGATTTAGGTGATTGTTGAAATAACAAACTTTTTTTTGGTAAATCATCCCAAAAAAATAATGAATTTTTGGTAAAATAGCCCATATTTAGCAAAGTATCAGAAGCGTTGAAGTTAGCAACATTTTTGAATGATGTCACCAGGTTTTCTTCAAAGTCCTATAACTATATATAGAAACACAGTTTTTTGAAGCTCATTATTGTACAAAGTTAGCCATGCATGCTTTAGGTGATCGGCACCATAATTAAATTTACGTTACACACGGTTTATTTGAATTTAATATTAATATTTTTATAATTAATATAATTAGTATTTTAATTAATATAATTAATATTATTAATTTTTTATTCACTTCTATTTTTAGAGATTTTACTTTTTAAACTTTTTTCATCATTAATTATCATCATGTAAATACTGTGAAAGGGGGATATAAGAAGTTTCCTGAAGATCCAAAAAGTTTACGGAGGAATTTAAATTTTGTTTCAAAATTATTATCGTATTGTAATCATATATAAATACTTCAATCGTGTGTGTTAATATTATTATTTTAGTATTTATTAATAACATATTAGTATAAATAGATAAATATAAATTAAAAAATTTTTTAAATTCGTTTGTTTTTCGCTTATTCGTTCGTTTTTTTTTTAATTGTTTTTCCATTCTTTAATATTAAAAATATTAAACAAAAATTTTATTTGGTAACATTAAAACATAAACAATTTAACCTTGATCAATAAAATAATATAAATTAATAACAATTCTTTAATAAACTAGTTTATGGCAATAACATAAGTTTTTTTTATTTCTAAAATTATTTTACATTCATTTTTTTTTCTAATTTTAATTAATTTAATTACAATTACAATTTTTTAATTTTTAACCTTTTCAAAAACATTTCAATCTCATATTTTCATTCCCATTCATTCATATTTAATGTAATCTATTTCTTACTAATACTACTAACTACTACTATTTACTAATAATCAACAATCAATAATCAATAATAATCAATAATCAATAATAATAACAATAACACATTGATATCAATAACAAATATAACAATCTAGCAATAACAATAATTTGCACATTGGCTAAAATAATAATATGAATTTGTAAGTTGTTATTCTTTACTTTTGAATAAAGAAAATTTACCCACTGCTAATTCTTCTTCGTTTTGTTTTTAGTAATTGTTCAATACAAGTACGACTAGAAGGTCATGATAAATTGGTTGATGTTGGTTATTCACAAGGAACTTCTGTTCAAGCTGTACTAGAGAGGGTAACTTGTCAATTCATCCATCTATCAATCTGCTGTCTGTCTGTCTGATCGATTGATTAGTTTATCGTTTTTTATTTCAATAATAATAAAATAATAACAATTTTTTTTTAAAAGGCGTGTAAAACTTTGGGCATTTATGATTCATGGAATTACGCTCTTTTCAGTGAACTATTCAAAGATTGGATATGTGAATCAAATTTATTGTCTTCTCGTCCAGCTGAGGTATGGTCAATATTAATAAATATATATATATATGTTTTTAAGGATATATTTTATATTATGAATTCGATGAATCGTTAACATGTACATTATTTGTCCATTTAGGATACAGTAATAGTTCGTAAAAAAACACCTGAATACATTGAGCTTGTGTATGAGGAAGAACATCCAAAAAAGGTTTCTATAATACCCATTGTTAATATGATAACTATTAATATACATTCACACAAAAACAATCGATATGTGTATATATATATTTACTGATATACTAATTAAACATCCAATCCTCCACCTCCTCGACTTACCTTACCATCTACAGAGAAATAATTCATCAGCGTCACTAACTCCAAGTTCCGCCACTCAGACTAAACGTAGAGGCGTTTTCAGTAATACAAAAATTACAAAAACCTGTCTAAAAACAAAATTCCAATCCGATTCAATCTACATTTCTACAATACTGTTCACAAGCGACAGTAAGATCTTGCTGACTTCCAGCACAAGGATGTTTCCAACCGTGGAGATCGTACGTGATAATGTGATCTATGGTAATTTTGAGGACGACAGTGATGAATTTGCTCACGTATTAAAAACTTCTTTGGATTGGGCCACTAATATACACAACAACAACCATGATAATGATGAATCGAGTGACACTGATTCTTTACATTCCTCCCATTCAAACTATGAATTTGATAATTTAAACAGCAACTACTCAAACCTTCAAAATCAATATTACGGCGATCAAGATAGTACTTGGTCACGTGAATTTGGCAGCGCTGCTTTAAAATTGAAAAATGAATTATCTCTGGAAACTTTAGGAACGTTGTATGAACATGTGGTAAAAATGAGTTCGATAAAATCAAAATTTATTATCACTGTACAACATGTTCCAGACAATTCAAGGGAAGACATTGCTCCTGATCTGATAAAGTCTGGCATTCTGAAATGGAAAAATTTCAATGAGGCCAGTTCAATTTACTATAAAGAACCAACTCATCCCATCTGGACTAATTTCATTGAGAAATGGTGTTCCAGGCAAACAAAGCTATCCCCTGGTCTTTATCTAGGCGTTCTATACACAGAAAGTAATCTACAAGGTATAAGAATTTTAGTTCCAAAAGATCGTAAACAATTTATTCCTTTGGGTAAAATACGTGATGAAGCCACTATAACTCCCGAGGAAGCCAGTTGGATAAAATCCTTAGCTTGTCTAAGTCAGGACTGTTTTATGGATTTGTCTACTTCTGCTGGAAATGACGATAATAAGTCAAATTTGGGTCAATTTCAATCTTCTTTCATAGAATCTTATTTCAAATTACAAAAAGACACTAGTTTGATTTGGGATTCTAGTGATATCTACAATGAACAAACCATAGATATTTATTTGGATCTACAGACTAATCAAATGTACACCATGATGGGTGAACTCGATGATAACACTGCTTCATCTAATAATAATAATAATAATAATAATAATAATAATAATCATAATAATAATAATCATAATAATAATAATCATAATAATAATAATAATCATAATAATAATAATAATCATAATAATAACAAAAACTATCATAATCATCATCATGATGATGATCATGACAATGTAAAAGAAGGACATAAAGAGGGAAAAAGGTATTACCAAGATAAAAAGAAAAAAGAAAATAATCAAAATAATGATAACGATTATGATGATGGTGATGGTGATGATGATGATGATGATGATGATGATTATGATGACGACGATGACAATGGTACTGTTACTGAAAATGAAAAAAGTATTATCAAGAATAACAACAACAATAGTAATAATAATCTTAATGAAATACTATTGCAATTAAAATCTGAATTAAACGGTGATGATGAAGACGAAAATGACAATGGCGTTGATGATGATGCAAATAGTTCATTTAGAAAAGCTTCAACATGTGGTGCAACTTCTTTGGGTGAAGAGACAGCACCAACAATGACATCCTCAATCTCGTCATTCAACATTGCGAATACAATCAGACCTTTCATACGTATAGTTCTAATAGTAAAACCCATGCGTCAACCACATCAAGTTCGTGAAGTCTACAAGTCTGAATTATGTGTATTATATCCATTTCCATTATACGATGCTCTTCAACATGCTACCTTTAACACTTCATTATACGCCTATTCTCGTCGTTCAATGCAAATTCTGCAAGCGAGTCGTATCTACTTTACCGGCGAGTTGGTGAGACTTCTGCAACAATCAGATACTTTTTCACAGGTAAACGAACAAAATCTTGATGATTTTTTTTTTGATCCTGAAGAGTATAAAAGCATGCCAGAGGATGCAAGAAAAGTACAGCATGCTTTGGATATCATTCGTGACGAAATTCATAGTTTGAGACAACAATGGAATTCTGCTTCTTGGTCAATGACTGCTATTGAATGGGATCGTCAAAGAACTATGCTATCTTATAATTTTGGTGGAAGATCAATGACCCTAAACATCTCAAAAACAAATGGTCGTGCATCTTCAATCTGTCATTTTAACAATAACCATAGCAATAATAGTGATAGTCATTCTAAAAGGTTGTCTTCTACCTTAAAACCAACAACGCAAACACAATTTGATACAATGTCACAAATTGAATTTCTTAAAGATGTTGTACATCATGCTCCTGATAGAGCATGGAATAATATTTTCATGTTAGGTGTTACATTACCAAATCTAAGTTCTTCTAATGATATATCAAATAACGCCAGTAGCAACAATAATAACAGTAGTGGAAAACAAAAGAAACAAAATAAATCATCATCGAAAACTAATAATAATAATAATAACAACAACAACAATAAATCATCGCAACCTAAACCTCCACCACCTATATTAGCATCTTATTTGTCCTCAATAGCATTAGCTAATCAACCTTTAACAACAAGAAGATCGTCCTCTTTATCTTCAACAGCATCAACAACCCCTACACCTAATCTCAATAATAACAACAATAATAATGCTAATCATGACAATGTCCATAATAATAGTAGTAGTAGCAATAATAATAATTTGATTGGTCCAAGAAAACAATCAACAGGTAACCGATTAATGAAATCTTTAGGTTTTGGTGCTAACCGAGATCAACAACAACAACAACAACAACAACAACAACAACAAATCAATGAACATAATGCCCAATTAAGTCCTAATGCTGGTGCTAACAATGAACCGATCGAGAAGAATAAGAAGAAATCATTAACCAGAAAATCAAATTCTAGAAAACACAATAGCAGAGCACCATCTTTTGAAGAAAATGATGTTTTATTTGAAAGAAACAATGAAGACGATGCTATTACAACCAATGCTCCTCCGCCTACTCTAACCAATTCACACCCATTAATCAACAATGACAATGACAAAAACAATGACGAAGATAATAATAATGTTACTGTTAACATATCATTATTACCTCCACCATTTCCTTCTGCACCATTAATTTCCGTATTTACTCTGGAACATGAGGAAATACCTAATTTGAATTCTATTACTGACCAAAATGAATCAAATGTAGATTCTAATGATGTGACAGCAATCAAAAAACAAAACAATAATGTTGATGATGATAGTTATGGTTATGATTATAAAAATGACGAATATGAAATAATTGAAAATAAAATAATTGACAATGTTAATAAAACTAATGACAATATTACAAAAAACAATAATGATGATGATGGTGATGGTGAGGGTCAAGATGAAAATAAAGATATTTTTAAAAAAAAGTTTAAATCTGAAATGGTAACTGAATCATACACCAACGACACCAACGACGACGAGGACGACGAGGACGACGACGACGACGACGAAACTGATTTTGAAAAAGATTCAATTCATTACCAATCAGATCAGATTTCTCGCAAAGATGACAATAACGAATTTATTATTGACAATGCTACATTCAAGGTTGATAATGTCAAAGAAAATGATAATGATGACGATGATGATATTTTGGTTAGCAATGTTGATTCTAAGGAGGAAGAAATACTTTTAGCAAATACTATTGAGGATAATGATAAGGATAATAGCTATGAGGGCTATGAGAATGATAATGGTAATGGTATATTAGAACTTAATGATACAATAGATCATAATACGACCTATAACTTGAGTTCAGAATTGTCAATGGAAAAGGGAAGTGAAATGAATGTTGAAAAGGATTTGGAAGTTGCTTTAGAAACAAATTCCAATGAATATGAAGAAATTTATATCTTTAATAATAATGGTACCATAAACGATGAAACTTTAAAAGCAGCGCTTGAATATGATTTTGATTCGGATGTTGAAATTTCCGATAGTAACAATAACAGTAATAATATCAACAACATGGAAACAATTGTAAATGCTGACAATGATGACAATAATAATATTCTCAGTGGTGATAATTATAACAACAACAACAACAACAATAATAGCAATGATGATGAGTTAACTTTAAAATCATCTTCATCTTCACTTATTTATCCACCAAAAAGTTCAGCGACTATTTCCAGTCATTTATTTTTATCAGCATCAACATCAGAGTCAACATCTGCTTCAACAACTACAACAACATCTGCCACCGATACACCATTATCATCAAGAGAATCATCATCACCATCAACTCCACTTCCACGTCAACCTCCATCAACCCCAATCAATGGATTCGATAATTACACAATTACACATTCGTCAATCTTACGATCTGCTCCACCAACACCATCCACGCCATATTTCCCTGCTGTCACATCACTCTCATCGGAAAGTTCACGATCTACATCGCCAGAATATAACCTAGGATCATTATTGTTATCATCATCATCATTATCATCATCATCATTACCATCAAATGATTTATCAAATTCCGGATTACTATATAATAATAGCAGTAACAATAACAACATTAATATCATTAATAATAACTTTTTATCTGGTCCATTTCTTGAAGAAGGCTCAAATTTCAACACGACCATGCCATCCATACCTTCATCACCTTCAACGCCACAATTTTCATCATCATTACAAAATACTAGACCTTCTACACCTGTGTCAGCACATTTGTCCACATTATTTGATGAATTGAATCAAATATCTTCCTCACAACAATTGACATTCGCCAAATCACCTCCAAGAACTTTATATGATGAATTATCACAACATAACGCTACCTCTATCATCACACAATCTAAATCAACGTCACCACCATCATATTCAAACACTCTACAAGATTCCAAACCCCCAACTCCTCAAGTATCACCACCCAATTCTCCAACTTCATTACCAATTCCTACAACGACGACAACAACAAAAACGTCATCGGCATCATCATCATATGCTGCTACTAATGTCAATAAAAATAATAATACTAGCAGTAGCACAAGCATCAGTGGCAGTATCAATAACAATAATAATACTTCCTTTTTGAATATCATGAACAATCGATCATTTTCACAACCAAGTTATACATCCAACTCTGCTCCAATATCACGCGTCAACACACCACCACCACCATCTCCTACAAAATCATCAAGCATAATTCCTCCCTTACCACCAATTTCCAATACAATAACAAAACCTTTATCACCACCACCATCATTTATCAATTCATCATCAATACCCTCGCTAATACCAAGACATCCAATGGTCAGATCATCGTCGTCATCATCATCATTATTGCCAAAGAGTTCATTGCCAACAATTCAGAAACCACCACCACTTCCACTTCCTCCAGAGTGGCCTGTCCTTAAGAAAACTAAGCGACAAGAACTTAAAAAGGAAGAAGGTGATGGTAATGATAGTATTCAGGAAAAACTCGCATTCCATCGGCATACTAAATCGAGAACAAATGTTAATGAAGGATATAGTACTGATGTGAAAAAAAATCAATTTTCGCAAGGAGTCGCTGATGAAAGTAGTTATTACAATAATAACAATATTGGTGATGATAATGATAATAATAATAGCAACAGTAAAGAAAAAGACAAGGTTAATAAAGACAGGGTTAATAAAGACAGGTTTAGTAAAGACAGGTTTAATAAAGACAGGCTTAAAAACAATATTAACAAAGATAGTAGAGATGTGTCATCATCATCAATACCGTTAGCCATTAATGAAGGCTCAATTAACAATAATAGTAGTAGTGGCTCATCAAATACTACCAATTCATCTCCTAGCACAAGTAATTATGAATCAGTAATAAAAGGTCGTAATAGGAAAAGATCATTTGCAGAAAAATCAGGATTGAGGCCTCTCAAGATTACATATGCCGTTACTGCACATTCAAGAAAAGACGATAATAATAAAATACCTAAAAAATCAGAAATAAGAGATTCAAATGATTATTATTAGATAGCAAAAACAATCTTACTGACGGTGCTGGCGGTATCAATGTCAATAATAACACTAATGTTTGTGGATGGGAAAGGCGTTATAAAATAACTTATTATATATTAATATATATCTAATTTATCTGTATAATTATTAATGATTTAATTTTTTGGGTTGTTGATTCATTTTATATATCTCTATTTTTAATACATATATATATATAGACTTTTTTTTAATTTTATTGTATAGAAAAATTTTATATTATAATAATAATAAAAACAATGATAAATAATAATAAACGTTGTATCAATTACATGACTATTCTCCAATATAATGTAAACAATGGCATTTCGTTAGGATACAATGAATGTTTTTGGGAAGTCCTAATTTTCAAACGAAGACGATGGTTGTAGTCATCGTGAATTCTTTATTAATAATGTATGGTTCAATATATTTATTTGTGTCAATCCTTATGTCTAATTATCCACAAAAATCACAATGTACTCGATAGAGTTTTATCGTAGGTATCTTTAATTAAAATCGAGGCTTGATTAATTACCTCTACTCACGAAGGGGCTAACGATTCCTTTCTTTTGTCGAAGAAGATGCATTTCCATAGTCTAATGGTGTATTTCCATTTACTGAAAAAGAAGATTCATCAGTTTCAGACTTTTCTTTTCTCTTACTTCTATGCGATTTAACTTCAACAGATTCATAGCTAATATAAATAAATAATTAAATATTGATCTTTGAATGTACGTGGAATACTGCGGAAGTGGTCTTGTATAATATGCAATACAACGCCCTATTTTCTATGCGAGCAAATGCAATATTTTTTATACACGGAAATAAGAATCAAAAAGTTTATTATTTCAAACATCGTTATAATTTAGCTTTAAGAATAAAATAAAGATAAAATAAAAAGACAAATAATTATAACAAATAATTTAGGATATTAAATTAGTCATTCATCAATTCCTTCTTTTAATTATTAGAATCAAGTGCAATCAAATGTAAATAAAAATATTGTTAGTAATAATTAATGGATAGTAATCTCCAATTAATTAAATAATAATGAAATTTCTATTCACCTTCAACATTTAAGAGAAGAGAGTTAAAATCAAGACTATTTAACGAACAATCATTACTTGTATGAATTTTCAAGCTTTTTGATTTAGCAATCTCTTCATCTAATATTCTACTTTTATGATATGCATATGGATGTGATTCGTGTACGTGTTGCGAATCATTACTACTACTGATATCATTATTATTTTTAAAAACTTTCCTACGTTTGTTTTCAGCAAAATCATAAAGCTCTCTACTAGTTGGTCTTTTAGATGGGTCCACATCCCAACACCTCTGCATCATTTGCACATAATCATCAGGCATTCCAGGTAATATTGGTGGTTGTAAACCTTTTGCATATATATCAAAAATTAAATGATGATTGTGAGCTCTGTTGTCAAATGGTGGATGACCTGCAAGTATTTCCCACATTAACATCCCAACACTATAGATGTCAAATTCTTTGGTGTTCTTTGTACTATCGCCTCTAAGTAGTTCGGGTGCAACCTATGATACAATTCCACAGACTTTATCTGATGATTTTCATTAACTGGTCCACATAATCCCAAATCTGTAATAAAACACTTACCTCCTTGCAATAATATATTACCGCTATGTAAATCACAATGGATTAAATCTTTTTTGATGTATATCATCTAATGCATAACATAAATATCTAAATATTGTAATTCTGTCTTTTAATGTTAAATTTAAGTGACTTTTTTGTAAATAAACCGGAGACTTATCTTGATGCAGAGTGCCTCATCCATGGATGGAAAAGTAATAAACCTAAATGTCAAATATGTTTCGCAAATCTAGAAATAACAGACGAAAATCTCAAGGTAGATTCACCGATAATCCTAAACAGTATATGCAACTTTTAAACCGAGATAAGTACATGCAAAGAAAAGACGAAGATCACATCACTATCATAAATAAGAATACGCAAGATGTGAAAGCGATTTTTAATTTTGTAGAACTATGTAGATATCTAGAGATAAATAGTATCGAATCGAATATTCTCAATATGTAGTAGAAAATTATCAGACATGTGTAATAATAATTAGCTTATTTTTTTCGGTTTGTATGAAAATTTTGGAAAATAAAAATATATTTATTCGATACTGTTGAACTTTTTTCAACTAGATATGCGTATATGTGAACTGCGTAAAAGTGAGAAATTAACTAATAAAATATTTCGTAAAATCAACAAGGGCGAAATTATGTTGGCGTCAAACCTTTAAATCTTTTCCAAAAGATTATTCAATTGTGGTGCCCGCCTATTAGACCCTTTTGCTGGTATTAAAAAATCATCGTTATGAATTTTGATTTTAAATAATTATAAGTTTTAGAAAAATTATCTCTGATAATCTAAAATTTTGAGAGGTAAGCAAAGAATAGTAATCTTTTGAATAAAGCCTAAGAAAAAACGTCAACATACTGAAACTAGGAAAATATTTTAGAAATGAAAAAAGATTTAAGCAACTCCTATCCAAACGTATCCATCAGCAATTAATTCACAAACTTTGCAATAATATATTTTTTTTTGGAAATATCAATCTACTCTTATGACAAAGATTTCAAATTTAGTAATTGTAATAAAAACAATCGTTCTAAAATAAATCTTATCTAGGAGACCTAATTGTGACTTCGTGTAGAGGGGAATCGTTGGGATCGACGATTTTAGATTTCTTTTTAGAAGAATTTCTAAGATTTTGCAGATTCACAATGACTCCATTCCAAGTACGTAAAAAGATTCAAGAGACAAAATTAATAATAAGTTTAAAGAATATAACCAGAATTGAATTACACCTCGAAACTAAACTTGATTGATCATTGTTGTGCTTGGTAAGCCAAAATACAAACAATACAAGGGAATCAAGCCCTTACCCTCAAAGTCAACAACGCATGTACAAAATCTTCCACTTCCTGAACTGATTCATTTAATAATGGTATCGTAGTTTCTGATACAGGAAAATTAAACCTTGCACCTTTTTCCCTCGTCAACCCGTTTATAATGAGAGTATTCCCTATAATTAATGGTATAAATCCAAATTAAAAAAAAGAACTCTTCTTGGAAGTTAACCGAGTTCATATCTATACCTGCAACATTTATTCCGAAAACAAATAAGAAACTACGTAGTGTTACCAGAATTAAACGATGACGAAGATAATTTGGCCGAATCCTTTAATTTCGGGTCAAATTAAATTTTATTTCTATTTTTATTTTTATTTTTATTATCTATTCTTATTTATTTTTATTATTTTTATTTTATTAATTCTAATTATTTATTGATAACGTGTATAATTATTATCATCAGAATTCGTGTTACGTCCCGTCTATTTAATTAATCTGTAGCACGTTCATATTTATTTAACTTTATTTAGTAGAGATTAACCCAGACTGGGCGAAATCGCCCAAACCGGGCGGAATTTCCTAAGTACAAAGTGGGCGGAATCGCCCAATTCGGGCTAATATGTAAAGAACATGTATATAAAGAACTCGAATTTGACCTACTGTAAAAGTAACTTGATAACAAGTTAATTAGTTTCGACTAAGAAAACTAAATAAATAAAATAGTAATATTTTATTTAAATAAACTTTTATCTTCTTTAACCAAAATTATTCGCTAATACCAAAATCAATTCGTTGATCCCCTATTCATTCTGATCCGCGCAAAAACAAAAATAATTGTTATCATCAATTAAAACACGCTCTCCCAAATTTAATCGGTGACAGTAGTTTCTCCTTTTTAAACTTTTTTGATAATTCGTCATAACCATCCGAACAGAAACGTACAAGGCTATTATGGTCGTCTAATCGTTTTTTCTCGTCAGAGTCCCACCTTCCACCTTCAACGTACGCGATTTTATTCCATTTCCGTTGAAAAAATGCCCGTATCATTATGTCCGGATTATTACCTCTCGACCCAGTGCCTTGATGTATTTTCCTATTTTTACTAGCAACACTCTGTTGTTCAGATCTATATAAAAAATCAGTTTTCAGTTAACCAAAAAAAAATAACATTCGGTAGATTATCTAGTTATATCAATCTTGAATTCAACTGGTAACTCACACATAGTTATATCAATCAGACGACCAATCATTTCCATATAAGTTCCCTCTGAATGTCCGGAAATTCGACAAATAATATCCATCCTTATTTCTTCTAAAATAAAAACTATTATACCTCGTGCCACTCCTTCTATCACAGAGATTGCTTCGACCCAACGATCATGGTATACAACTTGAGATGGTGCTATAATAAATTTAATTTTCGTCTGGATTTCATTCTTTTCCCGCTCGAATTCAGAACATAAATTTTTTATTGGAGCCATTGCATTGTCGTCTAATTGATTCCTTCTTTTTTGTGTGCCTCCCAATTGCAAGTCGTATATAGATCCAAAACTTAAATGAATAATAAATCTGATTGACTATTTAGGCTTCTTTAACTAGATTCCTTATGTTTGCTTTATCACCCTGTAGAATGAACCTGTGGGTGAGTATGTGAATTATCAATACCTTTCAAGATTGGAATTAACCAAGAACATACCACAAGAACATCAAAATCAACCTCATTTATGAGAAAACGGTCATATTTAAGATCAACTACGCCATTACTCATAGGATCGTCATATGTTAGATCGTTTATATCAATTTGTCAATTTCTTTTAAAATTTGCCCATGTACAGCCGTGTTGCCTTTCTAATAGTTTAAATTAAAACTTTAAGTATATTAAGCAAGTAAATATAGAAAAAAAAATTTTTTATTGTACAAGTTTTTAATACCCTCATTGCATCTTTTAAGCTACCAATATTGCATGCAGCTTGAAGTTTCCAAGTTTCAGATTCGTAAAATTTGGAACTTCAAAGATTGTATATGTTAGTTTATTATTCTAGACAACAATTTGCTTCTTATTTCTTTAAATTTTAAAAAGCTTACCAAAATAAATTAGCATCAACCAATTATTTCAGCTCATTCCACGAATAACGTATCTAAAGAAGTATAAATAAATAACCCGTTAAATTATTTCTTAAATGATAGTCTTATAATTTAGAAAATGATTGCAGATCAGCTTAATTCAGTAAGCTATAGCTGGTGTGTACTATTACTGAATGTTTTAATCACTCTCATGAGGTACAATGTAGCAGGATCTCGCGACATGGCTTACTCAACTCCATTGTGTCCTCATGAAATGCAATGTAGCAGGATCTCACAACATGGCTTACTCAACTCCATTGTGTCCCTCATGAAAACAATGTAGCAGGATCTCGCGATATGGCTTACTCAACTCCATTACATTAAGACAACAGACAACTTATCCATTTAATCCTAATATAATAAGAGTCTGCGAACATGTTGCCTGTTTCCACGTCATAACTAAGAAATCATCATATCTGCATAAATACTTATTAAAATTATTAAAAGATAAGTACTTTATCTATATCTTGTAGTTGTTCGAGATGAAGTTTGCGTTGTTGTTCATTAATTTCCATCGTTACTTCCGTTAGGATGTCAACAATTCGTGCACAATCATCATTATTTGTTTGAAAACCGTACAGTCTCCATGTTTCATGTAAAATTCTACTTATGGTTATTTCTTCTAACGGTGCTTCCTTCAAAAATTTCTGCAAGAAGGGAAAGTTTCCAGTTTCTTCAGATATTGTTGGAATTACCGACATTTGCACATTCGAAGTACTAAATATTATTTCTTTATATTTTTATTATGTCCTAAATGTTCACATTATAGAATCTATATGTACTTAAAATAATGAGAAAAAAATTTTTTTTTTTGAAAGAGGGGTATTTATATGAAAAATTGATAGAGATAGATTAAATAAAAAAAAATCGATAACTCTCCATGTTGTGTAACATTATACTCATCAGGAGATGACAACGTAGAAAATCATATAGTGCAAGACACCTAGTCCCACAACTTTTTATTGGCATTGTAGATCCTTCTCTAACTCCAAAAATGGAAATGTAACACCAAAAAATAAGCCGTAATTTTGAAGCTAAGACCTTT